TCTCAATAATAATGAGTCATTGTTGGGAGCCCCAGGCCTGGATGATTCTCGTAGCACCCAGGCGGGCGAGCAAAGTGACTCTGACGCGTTTGATGTGAACCTTTGTGTTCTGTTTTTACTTCCTCAGTAGAGAAGAAAAGCGGAATCTGGGTCTCTCTTTTATGTCTCCAATTATGTAAACTATTAGAGAATTTAACCAGGCCAGCTCTTACCGGCTAATCCAGAAGTAATAGATTCTATTAAAAATGTATGAGGGGATTGGGGACGATCTGCGCCTCCGTGAGGGTTGTATTGAGACAAATCCAGCAGCTGTCACAGCACTGCTGTCTAATTCTGTCTGCATTTAATACTCCTTGTCTGGTCTCCGTTGCTGACAGGTTCCTGCAGGGCCCGCACCTTTACAAAAACCACACACAAACCGATTAAAAGCAGCAGATTGCTATTCATGGACTATATCATCCATATTCAGAGAGAAACCCTCTTTCTCTTTCTTTAATAGCTCATTTTTCCTTTGTTAGTCATTTATTTATTCCTTAAATCTCGTGTTTTTGCTTTTGCACTCTTCTCCCCTTTGCTCGTCCGCAGCTCCTGAGTGGAAAGCGTGGGAAACATTAGCATAGCACTCATGTCAGAGAATGAAAAGGAGGCTCATCTTGAAGCTTTTCATTGTTGTTTAATCATTCAGCGAGGATCCTGAGAACGGCTAACAGGAGATGAGACGAGATGGGAAAAGGTCGGTGAAGCTGTGTGCGATTGAGCCAGGGCGAGGGTGCGTCTTTTATCTGAGCATTTCATGTTTGCTGAGAGGGAGGCCCCTTTGTGCAGTTTGCTTCTATATCTTTGCTTTGACCTTTGCTGCTGCACAAAGTCATAAAAATGGACAGAAGGTCAGAGCGATGCCACTACCTGCGTAATTCAAAGCTTGTTGGTGCTTTGGAAGTACCTCCTTGTTCTGTTGCTTTGTGTAGCCAAACAAAACAATACTTAATCCAGTTCAGGTTTGTCTAACATAGTGGTGAATGGGTCTGGGGAATTGTGTGGCTCCAGCTTTACTATCAAAAGAAATGGTCACATACAGTACATAGAGTTTATAGTGAATTAAAGGAGTGCATGCGATGCTTTGAAGTGGGATTCAATCACAGTTTTGGAAAATGTGTATTTGTATGCATGTTGTGTACGTACATGTTTTCAAGAGGCTCTTTAAGAAATCTCTTCATGCAATTGCTGCCTCCAAACCCATGTTTACCAAAACATCCTTCCACAAATTAAAGGATGTCCTGGTCCTGCAATGAAGGTTGTATAAATATTCGTATTGGTTGACTTTTTCCTTGAGATTTTCTTCGATCTGCACCATGTCTGCTGCTACGTAAATATGTTAGGCATTTTTTTGTGTGTGTTTGGATGTGCTGTTGAGAAATGTAAAGGAAGCGGCATCCTGAGCAATCACAAGCTTATGCTCTCTGTAGCATTTGACAGTTAAAAAATTGAGCATTCGTCACCTACGGGCCTGCCGCACAATGCTTATGGTCGACGGACGATGGCGTTGCATGTCTTCATACCACCACAGATGGAGAAGTATAACTATGCTTAAAGCTACATTGACAAATCTGCAAAACAAGCTAACTTAAAACATTTTTCATGCCTCTTAATAACCTATATTGCAAAGATTAAAAATAAATTATAAGAATGGTCAGTGTTTTCTCATATTTGTCTAAATTCCTCAGCCAATAACGCGGCTTGATCGTAAACCAACAATTAAACCGTCCGATAGTCCATCTCACTGAACCATCGCGCTTCTGCGTCCCGGGCCCTCCATTCATTACGCACTCGTGTTTTTAGCAACAAAACACCACTGGTGTGATCGCAGCTCAATACCGCGGTTCATAGCTCAATATGATCAGAGAGAGAAACAGCTGGCTGCTACCACTTCAACTTTTGGACAAACTACCAGAGTCCCAAAAAGCAAAACACCATTTGCAGTCAAGGACAACCAAATGCATTTGGACCTAGAAATCGATTCTAAGTCAGCAGAAAAATCCTGCTTGGACTAGCCGTTAACCTATCCATCTGACATGTTTTCTCCAACAGGTAGGATGCCGACTGTTCATAACATTTCCTCAAAAACCCATGCTATGTTTTTCTGCCTAACTACAGCAAACATTAGGAAAGGTCTCTCCCAAACGTCCTTTACAGCTCTTCTGTTGCAGCACAGAATGGCCCAGAATGCCTGGCACAGATGCCATGCTCTGTCTACGACCAGAGGAAAGCTCTAAAACAGTTTTGTCTGCCTAAACATTCTTATCACAACACCACGGGGGACAGTTAGATAGACAACAAAGCACAAGGTCTTTATCTCCCTGGCAGACCCACGGTGGGCCACATCCCACTGCTTATCAGCTGCACTTCTATCACTCGAGAGTTGCAAGAATTAAGCATTCCTAAACTTTGCGCCCTTGTTGTTCACTCTGAAATCGTCCTTCAAAGCGTGATCTGCGTGACACTAAAGCAAGAGAATAACGTAAAAGTGTTTTATTGAGTAAAATAATGCATCTTGGGTTTGCTTTGATCCCTGCCTCCCTAAGAATGTAAAAGGGAAATTTGAATTTCAAGTTTTTATAAAAGCTCTGTAAGAAAGAAATAATTGTCACTTGGACTTTCTGGCATCAGCCCTCTTTTCAAATTTTAAAGTGAAGCCCATGTGGACCTCCTCTTGAATTATAATGCCATCCTTGATGTATTTTTCTTCCATCTGCAAGTTAAATGGGGGGTAATGGAAGATATTCCAATTCTTGTCTCATTTTGTGCCTGTGAAGGGATTTCCCAGGAGATGCCTTTTCTCTCTTGTTCTCCTGCTGCCTTTTCAGTATGTCCCCGCTGACAAATGTGAGGTAATAGAGGGATTATTGTAAAAATGCTATTATTTCTAACAGTGGAGTCTGACCACTCTGAGGCTTTTAGCTCCCCTGATTAGTGTGTGTTCAGATGAGAAGGGTTGCACCGAGCAATTTGAAGCCAGTCATCAAAGGACAGATGTTGAGCAGAGGCGGAAAGGGGAAGAGAAATAAAAGGCAGGGAATATTGTTTTTTATCATTTAGATGTTTTTTTAGGAACTAAGTTAAAAAAAAACATAATTTCTCTTTTTCTTTTGAAGAAAAGGTAAATCACGTTTCTGCAGCTCATCTCTGTGCTTGAGTTGCTTTAGCGGCTTCCTGAGCCCTCCGGGAGGAAGAAAGGACTAAACTACAGAAACTGAGCAAAAAACAACAAAACAGGCAATCTGACAGCTGAACGCTGCAGGGTGGTATTAGCCTTGTTGAAGACGTTTGCATCACCAAGAAAATAAAGTTGTTCCTAGTTGCTGACAGATTAACTGTTGATACCACATTCAAATGACTTGGTAGCTTCTGAAGATCCCATTTTGAGCCTGAAGGTTGTTTTATTGTATTTGTTTACTTTTTGCAAAGCTAGCATTCAGATTATGCTGACTCCTTTGGATAATTTAAGAGTATTGCAGTATTGTGCCTATTTCCTTTTTTATCCGCCCTGCAGAATGATTGCTCCAGTTCACTCAGCTGTCTTGTTCAGACACAGGCTTTCATTTCCTCCGACAGTACTCAACTCTGCAAACAGCACAGCCCGCTTTGGGGAGGGAGCTGCTTTCGGCTATCTGCTCTGATCAATAAGGCCATAAATTTACAGAACAAGAACAAACCGAGGTCTCTGCTCTGGTTAGTGATTCCACGCAGCCGTGACCAGGCCTGAGGCTGCAGGGAGGTTAGCAATAATCTGTGTGATCAAAGCTGACAGAGCGAGGCTGATAAGAGGAAAGAGCTCCCACAACAAATAAAACAAAGGAAACTGAATCATCATTTAGTGCTTTGCTTTGCTCAATGTTACAAGGAGTTTTGATGATAAATAAGCCAAGATCATGGCTGCTTCTGATGTAACATGATAATATTTTTAAGAAAACGTTAATGAGATTGCTCATCTTTTTATTCCAACATGAAACTGATGCTTGTTGGAAAACTTTGGATAAATGTGCATACGGTATACCAAATGTACCATCCATCCATCCAAACCACTCATGCCTCAGTAGTCAGGAGGAGCTGGTGTTTGTGCCCAGCAGTTATCGGGCGGGAGGTGAGGGACACCCTGGACAGGTCTCCAGTCTATCACAGGGACACACAGAGACAGTTTAGGGTCTAAAGTCAACATGACATATTTGGCCTGGGGGGGGGGGGGGGGGGGGACTAATGCATGATTTGGGAGAACATGCTAACTGCATGCAGAAATGCTGCAGCCAGGATTTGATCCTGCAACCTGTGAGGCATCATGCACTCTGAATGTTGTTTCCTTCAAATTATGCTTTCGTTAGATAGATTCACTTATTTCCATCTTTGTGTCAGTGGTTGTGCTGAATAAATGCAAAGCATTGATATTGGACCTCTAATGACCTCCTGTTCAGACATTTCCCTTCTGGTTTAAAATTGGCTAAGACGGCTTCCAGCTGCAGACCTGAGAGTTCACATGAACACTTTTCAAACTGATAGAAGATGCCAATATAGATTTTTATTGTTACAAGCCATACTGAGCAGAAACCAGTCTATTTTTAATATAATGTTTCTTGTCTTAATAATCTTCAGACCCAGAAGCCAAGTCTATCTTTTGTGTTTTTCTGCAGCTGTGGACCAGGCCGAGACAATAAATACACAAAATTACTAAAGTAAATTATAAACACTCTGGTCTCCAGGGGGTAAATATTACAAGAACCATGAAATTGGCGAATATTTTAAGGTCCACTCCTTTAAAATAACCTGCTAAATGAAGATTTTAGCTACTTTTGTGTAAAACTTCACCTCATGTGCACGTCTTGTTCATATGGGCAAATTTACTGGCAATGATTAGATGTAAACAACCGTGAACACTGGCTTTAGTTAAAGAGCCTCATATATTATGTTTTATTGCTAACATTTTGACTAAATGTTGTTTCCTCTTTCAGCAGGAAAGCCTGGGCTGCGAATTACCATGCTAGCCTGTATCCAGAGACGGCAGAACTTCCCATCGCAGCATTTGGCACGCACACCCAAAAGCCTCGACGTTTCACCACCATCTTTACTGCTGCCGGTGCCGCCTCTGCAGACATGCATCCAGAAAGGTGTGTGTCACTCAGCTGGAGAAATGTTATCTGAGAATACACACGACTACCGTGATTTGAATATTAAAAGATACTTTAAAACCTGTGATTTAATTTGCCCTCCTCATCGCCTCATTGAAGACGCGCAGCATCTGAACCTGCAGCTGCCGAGAATAAAGATAAAATGCTTCTTGATGAAAACGCCTGTTAATTGGGTTTGTGATCAATCCTCTCCTGCTGTGTGAATGCCTGCAGGTCAAAGTGGACTCTGAGTATCCAGCGCTAATCAGCTCCCCCACACAAAGTTACTGATGAGCCTTACATTTTGTGCCGGTGTCAGTGCCGTTTGACCTTCATCTTGACTGATGAAACAGTCTTTGTTGAAAGGTTGGGCGGGCTCCCTTTAGGCCTGGAGCTTGTGATTAGATTTTGTTTAATTACTTGATCACATTCAGTGTGTCTGCAGGCTTAGATCCTGTCTGATACTACTTTTTCCCCCAACCCTAACCTTAAATGAGATTTAAGTCCTCTCATTTTGGTAATTTCAGATCTTATTTGTACAGAATCTGCTTAATTTAACAAAAAAAGTCAATATTTTGGGTTTAAATCTACTTTTAAAGTGGATATAATATTTAAATAACTATTTCTAACATGAATGTTATATATTTGGAAGAAAAATGTCTTTTAGGCCTACTCGATTTTAAAGCTGCTCAGTCAGCAGTTACATTTAGCAGAAATGCTCCTCATTTGCTCCTAACTTATTCTCCTAAAAATTTCTGCATGTGCTGCATTCTAACCTTTTTCTCCTGCTTCCTGCACTTCGGCTTGTTCCCAATTACTTATGTTTTTTTTTTCTAAATTAAAATCGTCTTCATTTGTTTTTTCTAGCCAGAGGAAGGAAGTTCCCATTTGTTATCTGATATTGAATGTACCATTAACAAACAAACAATAGGTATTAGTTTATTATTGGGACATAAAAGCCAAAAGTTTGAATGTTAGCTTCATAATATTTAAATAAAATGGGCCCACTGTAAGGGTCAGAGTTTGGGTCTACCAATCAAACTCATTTAAATCTGTGTTATTGTGTTTTTCAAAAACTTTAAGTAGAAAATGTGTAATTTTTACCATTGATCTCTGGAAATATCCATCAAAATGTTGTTGAAAATGAATTAAATGATGCCCAGTTGTTGAAAAATATTGGCAGCTTTATAACCATAGAAATCAGTTCTAAAATACATGGGACTGGGTCTAAGTCTCCGAGTGATGTCGTATTAGACACCATGTTTCCTTCTATGGGAGCCTGTGAGGACAAAACATATTTACTGATTTGTAACAAACTGTTTAAACATTTTTGCTATTCATAAACTTTGTTTTACACATTTACCTCTTTACTCATTGCCAATGATGAAATGATGAATGAGCTGATGTGCTTGTTATTTTGCTGGAGGGTGCGCTCCCAGGGATTTTTGACCCTAATGGCCATCCGTTGGTAAGGTCTTACTCGAACACAAAAATACCACTTGCTTGCAATGATTTAGATATGTACTGCCCCCTATCACCAGGGAAATTACACACTGTCACTTTAAAGTCCCATTAGTCATCATCACACACACATGAAATTACATCTCCACATTTTGACCCATCCCCATGAGTTCCACTAGGCCTCTGAGAAGGTTGTTTGGATAAGATTCACTTCAAAATAAACTTGCTTTTCTGCTTGTTAAATTGGTCCATCTCTGGTTCTTGAGGGCCACTGTCCCGCATGTTTCAGGGTTTTCTCTCCTCCAGCACAACTGATTTGATTCGATGGGTGATTAACAGGCTTCAGCAGAACTTGGGGACCAGCACAATAGGAATGAAATCATTAAATAGGTGGTTTTTGCCGGGAAATGACCAAAACGTGATTTAAAAAACATTAATGTAAGCAAACGGAGAGAGAAAATGAATAGGAAAGAGGGAAATCAGTGGATCGCGGGGAAAGGTGGAATAAGTAGAAAGAGCAGAATAAGCTAGAACAGGTGAGTTTTCAGCTGCTTTTTAAAGGAGACCACTGAGTCCTCTGATCTCAGGATCAGGGTGAGAGAGCTCCAGGGTCTGGGGGCCACAGCAGCAAATGATCTGTCACCTTTGGACTTTCACCTGTAGTTTGCTGGAGGGAAAATGGCTAACAGCTCAATCAGGGCGTGTTGTTACGTGATCCTGGTGTATTTGGACCAAAACATGTCAAATATTTTATTTAAGCCTTCAAAGAAGTTTGTGAAAAATGTTTTTAGAATGTTTTTTAGTTCTAGAGACACAGATGTGTGGTGCTTTGCGTTTTTATTGGTTCTCTGTGTCCAGCTCTGTTCCGTCTAACAGGCATTACTAGAAATGACATGAGTTGTCCAACATTGTGGTTTCAGAATCAGCTGAAACATGCAAATACCTCCAGCAAACAGGCTGTTTGCCTTTTTTCAAAAAGTACCTAAATTTGACTATCAGTGGAGCATTTGGAGAGTAGTCATAGTAATGTTTCTATGATACCTGGCCCAGCTAAACATTTTATTGGGGACAAACTATGCAAAACTCAGCTTTGTGCTGCCATGTGAGTATCTGCTGTCTCTATAAACACTCCAAATGTTAAAAAAAAAAAACCTGTCCAGATGTTTTCTCTCAATGTTTTTTCAGGGATTATGTGCCTGAAACAAGCCATTTCAATAATTCCCCGTTTGTCATGTCACAAATGAATAATAGCACCTCTTGGGTGCTTGAGGAGCAGTAGCTCTTCTCTGAGCCCCTCCCGGATATTGGTGCTCCTCAGCTTAATGACCCTTTACACCTACGTCACCTGATCAAGTGGGTCCACCATTGTGTATGTCTACAGTGAATTATGGGAGTATTGAATGAAGTATTAGCTAACTTACGATCGTTAGCTTATGTTCTCCTTGCTGCTGTTCATTGATGTAAACAAGTTGCAGACTCTGCCAGAATTCACCCACTGGATTTGTAACATTAAGATCACTTTAAACTGGAGCTGATTAAAAAGCACCAAATAAAGTCTGTATCCCTACCAGTTCTTTTTACTGGTGGGGTCACCGGGACCATCTGCTACTCTTACACAAGATATCTCATAACGGCGACGGTCATCTCGCTAAATAAGAAATGTCTTTTTCACACACGTAATCCTACTTTGGAACAATATTATTAGTATTTAGTAATTTACTATAGAGGACAGAAACTCACATCCTGTGTTGTAAAAAATAGGATTATCTAATAAGTAATATAAACACATCACATTTGAAATTTCAGGTCCATCACAGTTAAGCCTAATTTATACTTCTCCGTCTGCATCGGGATGGACAAACGTAACGCCATTATGCGTTAACGCAAGAGCCCTCTGACGGGCTCGCATAGAGTGACGGAGACATGCCCCAATTTTTAACTATTCGTTTAAAGAGACAGAGACTTGTGCTTGGTCACGATGCCGCTTCCTGTATATTTGTCAACAGCACCGTCGCTGCTGCTACAAAAAGGAAAGAGATATTTAGCGGCAGACTGGAAAATTATGAAAATATGAATGTTTATTCACCTGTGACTGAAGGAGTACAATGATATGCAGCAAGCTTTTTAGTCGTGGATGGAAAAGACGAGAAATGTGGGTTTAAAGGTGTTGATCGCATGAAGCGGTGGAGGGGAATGAGGGACAATTTTTTTCTGTGTTAAAAAGTCTCTGAAATACATTAAAGCAATGTAGACACAATAGCAGATACACTATCATTGACTGGATACGTAACTGTAATGGTGGCAGGTTACCTCAGACTAGTGCTACGCCCTCTGTTGTCCTGGCGGGAATTGTTTTGTAACAACCCCCAACTGACAGAAGTCGGAGAGCACAACGTCTTTGTCAATGCCGAAGCTGATGGAGAAGTGTAAATTAGGCTTTAGCCCATCTTACTCATGAAATACATGAACGTTAAACTTGCCTACTGCAAATCCAAAAATACCTTGAGGGCCATTAGCCCATTTGACTGAAGCTTTGGTTTATATCTGCCTTCTGAAACCATCAAAGTTATTTAAAAAAAAGACAAGTTGAGTTTACACCCTTGCGTGTTAGTGCAGCCAACTACACAGCAAACATTTCAATTTTACTGTGAAATCAACAAAATAAAAGTGATAAAAGGCTACAAGCTAGCTTGTTTTGACTAGCTTCCAAAGGGATTCAACGTGCATAAACAGTTTCTCTGCCATCCATTATGGCGGAGGGGGAGATCCCTCGAACAGCGTGACGTCACGTGCAAAGCGTCAATATCAGCCAGGGCGGGGGAGGGGTGGGCGTGATCAGCTAAAGCTTGTTTTCTTCAAGTGACAGAGCTTTAAACTGACTCATTCTGGAAGGTACTGAAAATGTCAAAAGTAAAACTGCTGAAATTGCTTCATGTGAGAGGGATTTAGTGGAAATCATTTCATGAACATGTTTTGCATCGACAATAGAACTAATATATCTAAAAAAACATATTATGTCTCCTTTAAACATCTAATGTGACTGAATCCGTGCGTTTATACCAGTCTGCAACTAATATCAATTAGACTGAACTAAAAGAAAAACATCTTATATTTCCTAATTTTATGAGCCTGTAATTATCAGATTTACATGCAGGTGTTGTTGCTTATTGTGGATAATTGGACTTCCTCTCAGACTGGAATTTGCTGGAGCCACACTGAGAGTTAGCAGAGGTTATAAAAGCTTTTATTTTGTAGTTCCTCATAAAAGCTGCTGTGATCTAACAGGAGCAACAAGACTTAACAGGACAGCTGAGGATCAAAATACACCCATAATAATGAGCTTTAAGCAGCCCAGAATGATTTAAGACACTGTTGGGTTGACAGACTGTGCAGTTAATTACGTCTCCCTGATTTAGTGGTAGCTAATGTACGCGTAGCCAAGTATACAAAAATGTGAACGCTCCATCTACTCGTCTCTCATTTCCCGGGGCAAAATACCTCGTTGTTATTAAATATTAATTTGGAGTCAGTGGAGCACT